CATAACTGTTGTGGAGGGTGCATGTTGCTCGAATCAGTTTAGAGGAACTCTTGAGCATTAAGCACTCTCTTTACTATTACGCTTAACCCTTATTTTGTTTTCAATATTTTATCATTTAATATTTTTGTTGAAATAGTGAAATAAATATTTTAAGGCACCAACGGCTTGTGTTTCCATCCAGTTATACCATGTGGATCCAACACACACTAGGAGTCTGATACCTCCTACGCTTTTAAAGTGAGAATGGCACGAATTACATTCAGATGTAGTGAGTTTAACACCATAGATTCTTAATTGATTATTTTATCTTATAACTGTATGAATACTCTGCACGAGAATCTTTTATTATAAGGTGTTCCAAAGAAAAATTACTTTCTATAAGTATTGCAAGTGTTACACATATTTCTTTGCACACCAAACTTTGGGCTGTGTGATAACATGCATGGTGTTGTATGTGATGGTGTGTCTATTCCCTCTAGATTTAGAGAGGTATAGATTAGAGGGGTATTTAACCCCAGTGCGAGAATGTGTTGTGTGAGCATTGGAAGATTAGGGTGGGTTGGTGCTCCACTCTGCAGTTTGCAGAGAACTGGGAGGGCTAGAGTCCCGGCCAGGAGATTGGACTGACTCCAGAGGAATCAAGCTGGGCTCTTGCCTGTTTCCATAGTCTAGCCAATTGTGCCCGGCTAGTGGCTCTTTTGCCCGGTGGTGTTTACGCGCCATCTGTGACAGCAGGCAGGCTGACTGTCAGTCAGTACAGTTTTGGAGGAATGTTTGGTCTTGGCCGTAGCTTTACGGCCTTGAGAGGCTGGTGTCAGATACCGTTGATATAACCATCTGCTGCGCAGACTGTTGGGCCTGTAAGAGGGCCTCGGTAATAGTATTCAACAGAGAAGTTGACACAGCGCCCATAGCAGATACCACAGCCTGCGTAATGGACCTAGAGACTGAGGCATCGAAGTTGCGGGCATGTCAACAGTTGCGGAGAAATCAGGGGACAGAGTTCCTTCCCCCGGATTACTGCAGGGAACCTGACGGGTTGTCTGAGACCCAGAGGGCAAAGTTAAATCCCTGTCTGCATAATGAAGGAATTTATTGTAATAAAACTAAGCAGTAAAATAACCTGAATATAGGGTTGAGTAACCCAGAAAGGTAGAAAAAGCTGAAAATACACAAAATTAAACTCACAATTTGAAATAAGCGCAAAGAGAGTAAAAGAGTAGTCCGCTCGCCAAAACTACTAAACCCCAACAAGGTTAAACAGAAAGGGGCAAGATGTTCGGGAAAAAAGCACATGAAATTCTGTGAAACGATTGCTCGTTCGCATAAAAAATCTATTAGACTCCTGTGAAGTGAGCGTCTGAAAGAAACAAATTGCGTGAATGCGCAGACTCACACAAATGGTAAAGAGTACCAGAGGTGGGTTCGCAGGGAAACGGAAAAGCTATAGAAAACCAATGAATGGCAAAGTACCGAACTGTACGCAGGGGGGAACACTAGAAATTGAAAAAAAGCCTCGACCATTAAAAATGAAGAGAAAAAAGGGTGCGAAAATGCAGCAAACGCGGTAAAACAATTGTTAGGTAGAAAAAACTGAGAGTATAAAACCAAAGACAATAATCATCCTCCCGGAGGCCCTAAAAATGGATTAAAAGGAACCAGGAGGGGGAAAATTTACCATACAAATTTTATTTATATAAAATATTAAGCATAACATATATTCAATAAAAAGGAAAATTAAACCAAAGAGTATAACACCCTATAAGACAATAATACTATAAATATATAAGTATATATATATATATATATATATATATAAATATATAAGATATTAATCCCACAGTTAAGAAGCCATGGGATCAATGTACTTAACTGAGGAGCAGCAAAGAAAGAGGAAATAGTTTAGTGAACACCGCCTATTATGCTGGAGAGTTGAACCTGATTGGCTCTTGGTTGCCATGGAAGATACATGTTACTGACTGTTTCCTGTGTTGATTTCATTGTTAAAGTTTTTCTTTGCTGCTGAGGGAAATAAAGAAAGAGTGCAGCATAATAGGAGCCTCCGTGTCTTAATAAAATCAGCAGCAGTAAAGCAAATAAATCCCTTACCTGTTAGACAGGTAAGGGAGACTTTTATTTGGGATCTCCTGTGAGGTCAGGAAGCAGCATTCTGAAATGCAAGTGAGGACTAAAGTGCAGCAATTTGACATTATTTAAGGTTAGTGAAACCTATGTTTAATTTAGTTTAAACCTTGTTAGACAGGGAAATCTACGTTAGTAAGAGCTCAGACGAGCGAGGATTTTGTTTACAGGAATTTCTTTTGTTATTGCATCTATGCTGTGTGCTGAAGTGGATTGCACAATAAAGTGTCTGAATTATTTTATTGATTCCGCAAGACTGTGCCTATTTTATAGCCTAGAGGTCTGTGCTATTTGCAAGGACATTATACACTGTGTGAGTACAGGATCACAGTTAATTAACTAATAAGGCACAGAGGGAGGGATTGAGATGAAGTATGTTTTTGAGAATAACCACGGAAATCCGCATACCTTTTTATTATGATTCAATGTTGCAAGCATAAAGTATAGACGTTATCACAGCATTTTATAGAAGTTCATAAAGTCTGTTGTCACATGTGGTGATACTAATAAGACTGTTGACTAGCTGAATACGGTAAAACCACTCCCTTTTATTAGCTACAGGGTAGGATATTTAAACAGCATCTCTAAACTTAAAGATGTGCAATTAGTAAAGATCACAAGCAGAGCAAATATTTGGTAGTTTATTATATCTGTTTTACTAAACTTTTTCATAAACTCTGGCCCTGCAGACTGGCCTGACCCCATGGAGAACATACAAATCTGCCATTGTCTCACAAGGAACAATAGCAGAGAATGCATCTGCGGAAGTCAGACTGGTGACTTGTTTTTTGGATGCCTTATTTATTTAAATGTATGAGGTCCATTTTGCATGAATTGCTGTTTGGTCTGAAATTAATGTAGTCTAGTTTTTATGTAATTCTAGTTTTTATGTAATTTGAATTTACAGTGCTCAGGTAATGGTGAATTCTTGCCTTTACATTTTATTATGCCTGTCTCATAATAAACATGACAATTGTTGTACAGTCTTCTGACACACTGCATCTGATACTGAATAATCTAGGGTGCATACTAATTAGATGATTTCCCTCATTTTTCCTTAAGTCACTGCCACTAATGTGAATGAATGAACATTCGTTTTAACCTTTCGGATCACATTTTTCTTACCACTGACCTTCTCTATATTGTAGAGCTCGGAATTGTTTTAGATAATCCTTTGCTTGCACCGTCTTTTTTATAACATATGCACAACAGTGACATATTAAACAATATTTTTGGATCACTATAAGATTTAGAATAAGTTGTATAACCTTTCTGAAGAACGTAATGATGCTGCAGACTTGTGTTTATTTATGTTAAATAAAGTTCCCATTTATTTATACCAGTATTTTAGTTTCACTTATGGAGTGCTAAAATGTCAGCAAAGCATGCAGGCATATGCGCTCACACACTTCAGCTTTTTGCAATTATGTATTTATGCATTTATTTATTTTTATTTAACAGTTGTTATATAACACTCTTACACAGAGCACTTTACAATTTGTAATATAAAAAGAACATTAGTAATTATACAAACAGGGTATTAATATTTAAACACACTGATACAAAAGGAAAAGAGAACACCTAGCTGTGAGCTCTAACCACCTACTAAGTAGTATACAAGAGCATATAATCTAGTCATCCTGTGGATGTCTTTATCATAAAGGGTAATAAAACATTTTGTATCGCTGTGTCAAAATCGTGGCACACTGACAAAAGAAAGCTGTAAGGCTATCTACATGAAATGTTGTTATGTATAAATATTTACCTACCATTTTCACATTTTGTACAGTGAGAACCCGGATTTAAAAATGAATAAGATTAGGATTTCTACCGTTTGATTTACACAAAACGTATTGAAAATGCAAAACGTTTTTACTGGGACATGAAAGATTTTTTTGAAAATTGTATTGCAATAGAGAGACACTGTAGACACCCAGACCACTTCAGCCCATTGAAGTAGTTTGGGTGCAAACTCCCATCACCCTTAACCTTAAGCATGTAATTATTGCAGTTTTTATAAACTGTAATAATTACCTTGCACGGTTAAGTCCTCCTCTAGACAAAAAAACAGATGTATGTTGGCACGCAATCCTGTAACTGGGTGCAGGTATCAAGGTTACCTACCTGTAAAAACTCCAACAAAATATACTAAATACAAAATATTGATACGGCACACCAAATGAGTTGCTGAAAAAATCAAGAGGGGTTTTAATTCATATTCTTTACAAGGTAATTCATTAGTGCATTACTTCAATCAATTGTACACTCAAACAAAATAATTCATAATATGTACATTAATATTTACAAAGAAATCGGAATTCATATTATGTACACCAATTATTTCAGTGAACTTATTCATATATAAGGAAAAACGTATCATGTAATCACTGTGAATCAGAAAAATAATAGAAAAAAACATTAGAAAAGTTCACTGAAAAAATATTTGAAAAAAATCACGTCCTGAATCCTGTCTTCATCAAGAATCACTATCAAGTAGATATGCTGAGGTACCTCCTACCACAGTCCACACTATAATTGCAAAATAATATATAGCACACTAGTAGTGCTAGAAAAAAATGAGATAAACAAAAACAACAAAAACAGAAAAAAAGGAAAAACGTAGACATTTCTTTTGGTAATAATTATGGTTGGGCCTCATCAAGCAGTAAATAGAGCAGAGAAACCTTGGTCTTAGCTTAGATGCAGGGGGTAGTTTCAGTTCCAGAGGCACCACTTTTTGGTAGACTCCTAGAAATGTGAGTTTTCTTGTCCCAAAGAACGGCTGATTTCAGGGGTCTCAGTACCCATGATGCTGTGCCTTTCACTGCTGTGTCTCTTACCACATTTGGTAAGAGACACTATGCATGAGTACTTCCAGATCCTAATGCAAGTCCCTCATGGTCGCTCTGGCCCTCGGGTTTCTCCGGCGCCATCTTTGTGACTGTTGGGAGCTGTAGCATTGCGCCTATATCCTGAGTGTCATTGTTTGTGCTCAGTGGTGTCTTTTGGGTTTTCCTGCCCATGGCTTTGGTGGCCCGTGGAAGGTGCGAGGTCTGGTATGGAGGGGTGTAAAGGTATGATTCTGGCCACTCCAGTATTTCCCACATTGTTGCGATGCTCGGGGTAGGCCCCAGGCCTCCGTAGGGTTTTCCTACCGGATAGCAGGAATAAAAAAGGCATCTAGTTGTAGAGCCCCTCCGGGTGTATCGAGGTGGATAGTTTGCGCCTTCGGTGGTATATTTAGAGTATTGTTTTATTTTGTCTTTTATCCTCCTTTACTGGAGCTTAAGTCTGTTGCGGCCATTCCGTTTGAACGCTAGGCTCCACCCCCACCTCGTGGTTGTTTATTCGAACAGCGGCCACCCAAACAGACAATTAGAACACTGCGTTTATAATCATTCTTAGGTGTTAATAGGGCTTAACAAGCACCTGGGTGGTCTATGCGTCTGTTTGGTTCCCAAACCAAATATAAAATCCCACGAACCAAGATTATTCCTATAGTTTTTAAAGGGCCCATAGTCTTTTGGCAGGAGGCTGGCAAGCAGGCCCCTCCAAGAACACGTGGCAGAGGCATTTATGCCACATCATCCTTTTCCCCAAATTCATAGATAAAATATAAAAATCAGCTTTTTATTATCACCAAGACAGTGCCCTCAACACGGTCTAAACCATCCTCCATGAGAACATCCTGACTGATAAGCTCTGTTCCAATCTAATGCTAGTTATGGAGAAATGTTGTTCTGTTCCAGTGTTGCTCATATATAAGGTTTATTAGAAGCATCGCCTTCCACTTTAAACTATAGTTCAAAGGAGAGACATCCAAAATGATGTAAGTAAACTGAGCAATGCTTATCTCTCTTGAAATCAACACTATAAAATCAGACAGAGGGAAAGGGTAGTGCTTTAGGGTTCTAGAGGGTACAATTAAAGTTTGCGTTATTATTTTTTTTTTTTACCCTTTAATTTTATTTATATGGACTCTGTGTAGTTAATTATGTATTATTTGATGGAATCTGTTTTCAGGAGATTTTACTTTTAATTTTCATAGCGAGTGGAAGTAAATATTTAAAGGGAAACTAGTGCCAGGAAAACAACCTTGTTTTCCTGGCACTGTAGCTTCCCGTTCTGTCAAGACCCACCTCCGTGGTGCAGAAAGGGGTCATTTAGCTGGGTCCAATGCTCAGCGCCGTCCACTCTCCTAATGTGCATGCATATCAATGACCGCACGAAGAGCGGCCCAAAGGCACCACACATACCAAACCACACACAGTGGAGCAGGCACCGGGACCCAACCTAGCCCCAGCCACAAAACAGGACATAGCAAACCTGTTACACTAAATGAGGCAGCTGCATGCCGCAGACTTGGATCTCCTCAAGACCGAAATCACAGCGGTTACGGCACACACACAGGCCTCCGATGAAGACATCCAGGACCTAAGACAGGAGGTACAACGCCTGAAAGAAATCCTTCACCAACTACAAACTTCCCAGACTACCCAGACTTCTAACTGGCGGGTAAATATTAAGATAAGGGGCATCCCTGACTCTGTAGACCTAACGGAACTACCCCATTACATCAGGCGGCTCACCACTTCCATCATGCCGCACACACAAGCCAAGAAGCTCACTTTTGAAGGTTTTCTTCTGTATCCTGAAGCCACGGCAAGCGCCACCCGGAGCCCCGCAGGACGTTAGTCTGATGCCACTCGACTACCAATAAGATCCAAGTGATGACCGCGGTCCGAGGCAAAACCCCGCTCAACTTTGAAGCCACACAACTAACCTTCTACCAAGACATCACCCGCACCACAATACTATGGCGCCGATCGATGGGCCCTGCGACTAGTCAACTACGCACTGCGGGCATTGAATACTGGTGGGCACTGCTGTGCACTCTGCTAGTCACCAAAGACGGGAGCACGAAGAGACTGTCCACGCTGAAAGACGCAACTTACAAGCTCTGGGACTTCCCGCGCTGAACGCGGAGACAGCCACTACCTCAAGCTCACATGCCTGGGACCCGGAGAGATCAGTGCCCTTTACCCCGAAAGGGAACGAACACCCAGCGGCCCCAACCTGAAAGAACTATGTTAACCAATATGAAGATGTACCACACGGTTAAGTGAGGACTTTAAGTTATAAGCACACCGCTTACAAGTTATCAATTTGTCTATTTTGTTTTGATTCAATCTGCCTTATTATGTGTTAGCTTGGCTCAAATCTTGACCCACAAAGTTGTAATATGATCTGCTCCATGATGCATATAGATCAAATGCATGCCTGCACATTAGTAGGCTCCACACACAAGGGCACTGGGGCAACTCCAGAGACGCACTTCATTCACCCTCACGGGACCCCGACAGGAGATGGGACCCCACACTAGACACCTCCAACTGAGTATACCCTCAAACGAATGACACAGACGCAGACACACGATTCCTACCCGAACGGCAGACACATAAATCCCTTACTATGCCAAAGTGAAGAGGACAAACAGCCTGGCCGGGCGCACAACACATAGACAGCACACACACACCACCACTTGGCATCTGATCAAACAACCAGTCTCACCCCATAAACATGCGTGCTAGGAATATTACCACTGCATAATGTACCTGCACATGTTAATCTATCTCACTGCTTACACGGAATGTAAAGGTTTCACCTTTTGTCAAAAGCAGCACGTGAAAAAAACAACCACGAGGTGGCGGCTATCTTGTTCCCGCTAATGCAGGCAGCAGTGTTTGGTCGCCGAGTTCATGGAACTGTTTTTGGACACTGAAACGCCTGATCACCGCTGGACTTCCAGGATTGCCTGCATTCAGGTTTACACCACTTAGAAGGGCACTGTTTGGTGGAATTGTTCCCACGAACAAGGTGAACAAGCTACAGGGTAAGAACATTGACTATGTTCGGTAGTTTGTTCGATTTTTAAACTACCGAACTAGACCGACCGCAAGCCCTGATTCTCTTGATGTTTTCTGTATCTGGAGATAATTGAGTTTAGTAGAGTGCTTGAATCAGTTATCTCCAGGCACAGGTGAGGGATTATCTTATTTTGTGTGGAAGTGTCCTGGACCTGAGAGCCAATGTAATCGTGTGTATGTTTTTACTGTAGTCTACAGTAACTACAGTAAAGTAAGCAGTCCTTAGCGGAGGTACCCAGCCAGGGGTACAGGGATCTCTCCATTACAGATGGGCCACTAACCTCGGAGAGCTAGTAAGAGCGATGTGGGCTGCTGCCTTACCCTATTCTTCTTCTGCACCCCTGAGGCAGCAGAACATAATTGTGCAGGGTTTTTACTAGCCCAGCACTGTGTAAGTATGTAAATAGGCTAGTGGCTTGCAATTACACTGCTATCCAGGTCTGGATTGATCCACTGGAAATTTCCTATGGGTCTGCAGTAGCTGGATTGACAGGCTGCAAGACTGAGGTTTTTACAAATGTAAAATTCATAAAAACAATTGTCGAGCATTGGTAACAATGGAGTCAAAGCAAACAGAGTTCATGAATCTTAGGTATGTAATGATCTCTGTGAATGCTCAGTCATGGTGCACAGGTCATACTTACGGGGACACTGTAACCAGGGCCGGACTGGGTAAAAAATTTGTCTCTGGCATTTTTGAACCACAGAAGCCCACTGAGAAGGGGGTGGGCCAGAGAGGGGGTGTGTTTTGTCATCTCCAATGACAAGCACGCCCCCTCTCAAAGTGAGCAGGTTGGTTCAATCTGCAGAGCCCTGCTGAAGAGCTCTTGCATGAAAAAAAGGCCCTGTATTTGTACTGCGCAGGGCAAGCAAATGTATTAACATGATTGCGCTGTGTTTGCTTGTGACATTTCTCCGGTGTCTCCATTGGGATAAGTGGGATACCAGAGAACAATAGTGTAAGGAAAGTGTATTGTGCATGTGTTTAGATGGGATTGAGTGGGATTGAGTGTGTGTAGAGTTTGTTCATTGTGGTGTGGTGTTTTGTGTAAATGTCGGTTTCATTTGTATTGTGTTGTGGTGTAATATGTATGGCTAGGGTCTGTAGAGAGTGTGAGTGTAGGTGATGTTGTGAGTGTGTGCATAGCGGCTGTTGTGTATGTATGTATAGATTATGTAGTGTGTGTAGGGGTTGTAAAGTGTGTGTGTTTAGGGAAAGTAGTGTGTTTTTGCTTACAGGAGATCTAGTGTGTTCATAGGGGATCCAGAGTGTGTGTGTCTTTAATGTAGTGTGTGTAGGTGGTGCATTGTGTGCCAATAGGGGATCTATTGTGTGTGTAGGGGATATATTGTGTGTGGAGAACCCAGAGTGTGCATAGCAGATTTAGTGTGTGTGTGTGTGTGTGTGTGTGGAGGATTCAGAGTGTGTATAGGGATTCTAATGTGTAGGTGCGTAGAGGATCCATAGTTATGTATGGGATATAGGGTGTGTGTATAAGGGATGTAGTGTGTGTGTCTAGAATGTAATGTGTGTAGGGATGCAGGGTGTGCACTGTGTGTGTGTGTGTGTGTAAAGGGTGCAGTGTGTGAAGGGTGCAGGGTGTGTGTGAAGGGTGCAGGATGTGTGAGGCATGCAGGGTGTGTGTTTGATGGGTGCAGTGTGTGTGTGTGTGTGTGAAGGGTGCAGTGTGTGTGTGAAGGGTGCAGTGTGTGAGGAATGCAGTGTGTGATGTTTGGGGTGCAGTGTGTGTGTGTGAGGGATGCAGTGTGTGGTGTTTGGGGTGCAGTGTGTGTGTGAGAGGTGCAGGGTGTGTGTTTGAGGCATGCAGGGTGTGTGTTTGATGGGTGCTGTGTGTGTGTGAGGGGTGCTGTGTGGTGTGCAGTGTGTGTGTGTGTGAGAGAGAGGGGTGCTGTGTGGTGTTTGGGGTGTAGTGTGTGTGAGGGGTGTATTGTGATGTTTGGTGTGTAGTGTGTGCATGTGAGTGGTGCAGTGGGGTGTTTGGGGTGTAGTGTGATATGTGGGGTGTAGTGTGTGCATGTGAGGGGTGTATGGAGTGTAGTGTGATGTTTGGGGTGTAGTGCTTGCATGTGAGGGGTGCAGTGTGGTGTTTGGGGTGTAGTGTGTGCATGTGAGGGGTGCAGTGGGGTATTTGGGGTGTAGTGTGATGTTTGGGGTTTAGTGTGTGTATGTGAGGGGTGCAGTTGGGTGTTTGGGGTGTAGTGTTTGCATGTAAGGGGTGCAGTGGTGTGTTTGGGGTGTAGTGTGTGCATGTGAAGGGTGCAGTGGGGTGTCTGAGGTGTAGTGTGATGTTTCGGGTTTAGTGTGTGTATGTGAGGGGTGCAATGGGGTGTAATTTGTGTATGTGAGGGTTGCAGTGGGATGTTTAGGGTGTAATGTGTGTATGTAAGCGGTCCAGTGGGGTGTTTAGAGTGTAATGTCTGTATGTGAGGGGTGCAGTGTGGTGTTTGGGTGTGATGTGGGATAAAACTAAAAATATGTATGTGTGTTTTTAAAAAAAAAAATTATTTATTTTATAAATATAATATTTATGTCCCTTTGTCTGAGAGGGGGGACATTGTTGCCAGCCTTGGTGGTCCGGTGTGAAATCCCTGGTGTTCCAGTGTGGAATGAACTCTACCCTGTAGTTCCTAGGGAAGAGTTCATTCTTGCGAGATCGGAGCGGAGCTCTGACCTCACGAGAGGAACCCGGCAGAGCTGCAGGATAGAGCTCCACCTCCCAGACCCTTCCCCGGCCTTATCTCAGTGCCTGTGGGCCGGTGGGGAGATAGTTTGTCTCCCCACCGGCCCATGAAGGCACACAGCAGGGCCGGCGCTCTGATAGCGCTGGCTCTGCATGGGCCAGCAGGGGAGATACACTGATCTCCCCTGTTGGCCTGGGTCCATGGGCATCGCGGCCCACCGGGCATTTGCCCGGTATGCCCGATGGCCAGTCCGGGCCTGACTGTAACTGCCTCATCTCATTGAAGTGGTTATAGTGTCTGGAGTCCACTGCCACTGTGCTTCCATTTAGCATTAAGCAACCATTTTTAAATGGTTGGTGGTGATATTTTATATATCATTATACACACACTGCTTATTTTCCTTTTTTGATCCATGTCCTTATATTCCTTATTTCAATTGTACTTAATAAATGGATATTTTTAATTGATCCGGTATTCTATCCTGGCAACCTATCACTTTAGCATGTATAGGCACCCTATATGCTGATTTCATAGAGCCTGATATGGCTCTAGCTTTGTGAGTTTGATTCTTCTCACCTGTATTTTATATAATAAACAGAAAGCACTATGTTTTTATTGTTTGTATTTTTACAGATATATTGAACCTGTGCTGCCTTGATACATCTAAGTATATTCTGTGTGCAAGCACTTTGGGTGTATATTGTGTTGTATCTTAACCATTTTTAAATGTTTTAATTTTATGTTTTAATTCTAAAAGAGTCACCAGCAGCCAATCCCATCTTATTGTGTGGACAAATGAGGAGGCGTTAGCCTGAGCAGTAATCAGTGCATATGATTGACTGGGAATGTCAGCATACTGCTTTTAGCCTCTTACACTTACACTTTGTTGGAATTAATTAATATGGTTGTAAACTGTCCAAACAGAAGAAACCTGATTCATTGTGTGCATGAGTACCCAGATTTAGTTAACCACTGCGCCAAATACCTCAACTAAAAATGTCCCAAAATAAATAAATTCAAGATAAAATAAAACAGATTGTCTCTTTAAAAAGTCATGGTGCTTGTTCAAAGAGCAATATCCTCATTAAAAAGAGACTTATTCTTTAGCAGCAAAGCTGACCGGTGGACTCAACACTTCTTTAAAAATCTTCAACCTACAAGGTAAGTGCATACAAATCAGCCTCCAATAGTGAATTACCATTTATTACATAAAATGTGTATAAAACCATGACATGCATTCACAAACATTTGTGCAAGACAAAACACTTGCACTACTGCTGTAAAGCCACACCAAGGTTAATTATGTGGATCACTGTACCAGTAGATCTCTTTGAGTGACTCCTTCCAAGATCCTTCCAGCAAATGCTCCTACTTGTATGGCTGAAAGGAAGTGTGTAATCTGCCATACCTCCAGTATAGGTTAGGCGTTGGGAAGCCAATCACATTCATTCTGTGTTTAAATGTCTGCAAATGGTTTAACACATAATGGATGGGACAATAGGACAGTGCCCAAGGTGTCCAGGCACTTTAACCACTGAATATTGGCCATAACAGAATCGGGACACTGGTGGGAGAGGAGTAAAGAGGGCGAGCCAGTAATGGGAAAATTGGGTGTGTCCCGCCAAAATTGGGACTTTTGACAAGCATCCTATAAACAATTCAATAAGATGAAATGGTTGTTGTGCCTTCCGTGTGGCAGGAATATATGAAGTCACACCTTACAACTCCAGAAGACTTAATGTATCATATCAGACAGGAAGCCAAGGGCCAAAGGTCATTTAAACATGTTGTAATGTTCACTGAAAAGTTGAGCAGTCACTATTTCTTTGAGTATGCACTCCTATTTATGGAGAAAGCTGAACATAGCAACTACTCATACTTTTTCCACACCCATGCTCTTTATTTTTGAGTGGAGGCAAGATTGTAATGCAGACTACATTATAGTGTTATTTTCTTAACATCTACTCACATATTGTTTATCGCGCGATGAAAATCTCAATGCAGCTCTAGAACTGACAAATATTACCTGCTGTTTGTTTCTCGTGCCTATTTTTTTTTCATGGTCTATTTACATAATTGTTTGAAAATCACGGAATCGCTGCAGACTTCACTATTAATTAGCATGTTTTAACCTATATCTTGGCAAAAATAAGGATACTTCAAGAAAGTGACAAAAACCATCTTTCAAAATAATAAATGTCCTTTGTCGTCTTTAAGTGTTATGGGGTCACTCCTGATAATTTGAAGGTTGTTTATGCGGGATGCTATTGAATTTTAAAACATGTATTTGGTTAATCATTAATAGGTTAGGAAGTAAAAAAATAAATGAACCAACGCGATTGCAGATATGTACTTTAGTTTCTCCTTTTTGAAATTAGCTGGGTTCATGTTGATGCTTTGTTAAAAATAGCAGATATCAGGGACAAATTAACATCTTTCACAGGTAAGGGGTGACTGATTAAGGAGTGGTTGTCAAATTATACTCGCAAAGTAGCACAGCAGCTGGTGATTAGTGTTCTGATACAAAGAGAAAGATGGTTTAAGATCTGATGTTTTTTAAAGCAATTGCAGCAAAGAAACCAACCTCACATTGATTAATTCCTCTTTTATTTAAATATAAAGGAATAAAAAAGAAATGTAAAATATAGGAATTTGGTAGAGTGGGCAGATGACTGTGTTGTTTTGTATTGTTTAAGTATTTAATGTGATGAATACCATAGCCACTGCTGAAGTCAAAAAGTAGTAGGAGTTTAAGCTCAGGGCATTATTTGTGGGTTTTTTCTGTGTATTTACTTTCGTATTACAGAGTAATTTAACAGAGCTGCCGCAGACCCTATGTGTGCCCTATTAAGGGTTGATTAGTTTGTAGGGGTTCATAAGAAAACTATCTTTCTATCTCACCAGAGATTATGCCTTTTAGCTGAAAGCAACAAGATATATTGTTACTGTAGAATTTACCTTGCCTTGACAAATGAACTTACACTTGTATAGCCATTGCAGTGATAAAAAATCCTTCTGTTATTTAAATGTAAATAATAATTTGGGATAGTGTGCAAGTATCTTTATTGATTTTGAATTCTCAAGTTACTGTGTTGTTTTATTGTATGAACTTTACCAGCAAATATTTCATGTTATTATCTAGTACAGGGGTAGTCAACCTTTGGCACTCCAGATGTTGCTGAACACATCCCCCATAATGCTCTTACATCCATAATACTGTCAAAGCATCATGGGAGGTGTAGTCCAAAACATTTGGAGTGCCGAAGGTTGCCTATTCCTGATTTAGTATATCAGCAGAATACTATTTCTGCCTTCTATAACATTTCATAATCATGTCCACATCCCTATTTATACCTTCAAGATTTTCTCCCTAGTTGTCAATCTCTTTTATAGCCGTCCTACATGTTGTTCACTGTAATTCTTAATATTATATCCATAATGTAACAATGTTCCACTACTGTAACTAGATTAAATCATTTTGTAGTCACTACTTGATATATTTGTTACTTCACTCCTGCAGTAAAAGGATTACATTCTACTTTGGGTGTGCTTTTTAGTTCCATCTCACTTATACATACATGTTAGGTTCTACCATTGTCTTGGACAAACTTGCATATGTAGTATCCAAGATGGTGACAGTATTCTACTGGCTAGCATTGAATGCCCAGGAAATGACAATACTTGATTTGCTGTATAAACTCTGTTCTTT